CATATTTCACTGCTTTTGTATCGTGACTGGATGGCCTTATACATGTGTATTTCTTCCATAAGTTTTCGCATTCGCTTGCTCGTCCTGGGCAACTGTGAGACTTGTATAGCACAGAACCCTCTAAATTCCTCCCACCACTTCTTGCCACACCCACCCTTCCAGCCCCAACACACCTGTCAGTGCCCCGTTCTCTGCCCCCATTTGGGTCCCCTGTGCCTTGGCCTCGTCCATCTCAGTCTTCAGTGTCATCAGTTGGGCCTCAAGCAGGTTCTGCGGAGTGGCCGGGATGTTGGGGAGAGTGAGGAAAGGGAGAATGAATTGGCCTTGCCCTTTCCAGGGGAAGCTGAGAAGACACTGCTGTTCCCCGAGCTTTTATAGGAATATCCTTTTATTGGGGTCCTATAGTAAGACACAGAGGTGGCCCCTGAAGTCTGGGGGTACCGAACAGTGACAGCTACCTGCCTACAAGGAGATCCCTGCCCAGGTCCACTAGTCCCCACTTTGTGTCACTGGGACACGGACTGCAGACTGGCCTCAGTCCCACTTACACTTAAACTTGCTCACTGGGATGTCAAACCAGCATAAACCAACTAGGTCATTGAGCATGACTGGGTGTCTGGGGTATGCTTTATTATCTTGGAGGCAGTGACTGGCCTCCTCAGGGACAGTGTCCAAATTTGAACTCTGGGCAGGCTGCTCTTCACCTTCACTGGGCCAGGCCTTCCCAGGCCCTGGCAAACAGGAAAGGGGGTAGGGGTCTGACTTGATTTCTGAAAGTCACATGTTACCTAACCCTGCTGGACCCAGAATACAGTGGTCATTCAATATATGTAGTGGTTGGGGCTTTGAAGATGGTTCTTCTGCAAGGCCCAGAACTGGGAAGGGTTAAGAAAAGATTTGAGGGGGTTGACCAGAGGAAAAGGGAGGCCCTGGCAGGTACCTCCCCGGAGAGGACAACTTTAGCTGCCTAATTACAGGGGATATAAATGTCCCTGTCTAGAAATAAGACTCTGGACACTAGCTGGGGGGTTGAGTAGGTGGGTGGAGTTAGCACAGGTCTCCCCAGGAAGATTAAGGGGCCCAGGGGCTTCCCTAGCCACCACCATTTATGTAACAAATAGCAGAGGACAGCAGAGCCTTCTTGGTCAGCAGGCAGACCCCAGAGGGAGTTGGCACCACAGATTGGGAGGGTGGTGGCGTTAGTCTCACTTCTCTCAGTGGAAGAACTGGGAGAGGGGGTGGGGGTGCTGGGGATGTGTGTCCTTGCCTTCTCTCCTGGACATTCTGGACAGCCGCCCACCTCACCCCTCACCTACCTGGCGGCCCTCACAGGCCCTCAGAGTCCCTTCCAGCTCCCGACGGATGCCCTGGGCCTGGTCCAGCTGCCCGGCCAGGGCCTCCTGTCGTTGGATAGCCTCCGCCAACCGGCGCTGCAGCTCCTCGACCTCGGGCGCTGGGTCCGGCGGAGGCATGGTGGCATTGCCCCCGGGTTCCAGACAACGAGGCCCGCGGGAGACTGAGGCGGCCAGATTCCAGGCCAGAAGGGCGCCTCCAGCAGCTGCTGCTGCCAAGAACACTGCGGCCCCGCAAAGGGCCAGGAGCCGCCATACGTGCCCAGGCTCCTCCGGCCCCTGCTCAGCCATGCCACCGTTCACAGCTCTGGCCCCAGACAGCCACAAGCATTTAATTGGCACCTTGGGGCGCCAGGGAGACCCACGGTCCCGCCCCATAAGGCCGTGGCTTCCCAAGCCTGTTGGAGGGGTGGGACACCTGCCAAGGGCCAGCCCAGGCTTCTAGAACCCTGAACAGGACTGGGGGAGTCCTGGGTGTGAGTTCTGCCTCTGCGACTCACAATGTCCTATGAGTTTCCACCTCTGAAAATGGAGATGGCAGCAGTTCCTGCCTGTTCATGCCTTCTGTCCGGTGCTGGTGGAAGAGTGATGGTTGAGGAGCTCCGGGTATGTTGACCCCTTTCTGTTCATGGGGAAACCAAAGCTGGGAGGCAGAAATCTATACCTGGGCCCTCCCTGGTGGCACAAGGGGTTAAAGCGCAGCACTAGGAAGCCATCCACAGCCACTGCAGCACCAGTTGATCCCCAGTCACGGAGCTGACCCACATGGCGTGGCAGACCTCTCCTGACCCGCTCGCTGCTCCCCTCAGCAGTGTACTTCATCGATCTGCCTGTTCTGCTCCCCACTCTGTCTCTGGTGAAGCCTCTCACTGCACCTGCACCTCTGGCCTGGGCCCCAGTTCTGTGTGTATCAATAAATAAATCTAACAACAACAACAACAAGTCTGTCCCTGATCCCTGACCCCTGACTGAGGTCAGCCTGACTCAGGCCCTGAGCTTTATGTGATAGGGTGCCACAGCCGCAGGGTAGACAGAGGGTGTCCTGGCCCCACCCTTCTCCCTGCTGGTTCTCCATTGCGCCACCAGGGGGCGCACTTACAACATGAGTCAGACCCTGGCTAGTTTATACTGGGACTTCGCTTTCATTCTGACTCAGAACCAAGTCTTCCCTCTGCTCTTTCCCCCCTCCTTTCCCTCCTGGCCTCCTTCAGTTCCACCTCCCTGGCCTTCTTACTCCTCCGTCTCCTCCCTCTCGGTCTCATCCTCCACCCATCCCCCCACTTCCTAATTCTTTTCTGCACTTTCCCCAGCACATAATTGGTGTCATTTCCTCCGTGATTACTTGTGCTTGCTCCCCACCCCACACTGGTATGTCTTTTCCGCTAGAGACTTTTATTTTTTCCTCCACTTCTGCTGAGTGGCCTGGCACGGAGGCGTTAAGTGGGAGTGGAGTGGATACCCGGACGGGATCTCACGGCCTCGGGCCCCACACCCCGCCGCCCCATTCCACGTGCAGAGACCAGAGCCAGAGAAGTCAGATCGCATTCCCAGGACACACAGCAGCCACTGGTCACTGCTAGAGTCCTGCTGGAGCTGGACCCAGCACAGGCCGCACGACACCGACACCTCTGTCTTGACTTCTCAACCTCTGGCTGGGTCACAGTCATGAGGGAAGAGGGCCCCTTTTAGGCAGGAGACATATCTATACTCAGACCATTGTGCGAGGTCTTGGGGTGGGTTAAGAAATAAAACAGCTTGAGGACCTCCCTGGTGGCGCAGCCCCTTGAAGCACAGCACTATGAAGCTGCTCACAGCCACTGCAGTACATGGCCCCCCTCAGCTGTGTCTTTCAGTCAGTTGGTGTGTTCTGCTCCCCACTCTGTCTCTGGTGAATCCTCTCTCTCTTTCTCTCTCTCTCACACACACACACCTCTGGCCTGTGCCCCAGTTCTGTATGCATGAATAAATCTTGAAAGGAAGAAAGAAAGAAGGAAAGAAAGAAAAGAGGGTGAATTCATTGTGTTGGGCAAAACTTCCTCCTTCTATCCCAGGTGTGGGGCAGGGTGGGGGTAGAAGGGGAGGACAGCAGTGTTTGGGACAGTGCAGTAGCCCAAGGAGGGGGGAGTGCAGGAGAGGGGGGGGAGTGCAGGAGAGGGGGAGGGAAGAGAAAAGCTCCAGGGTCATGTGAGAGGGCTTGATTCCTGCAAGTCAAGAGAACCTGGCCAGTGGAGGGTTTGTAGGTGGGCATGAAATCCCCCTTTACTCAGCAGAAAGTGGCTTCATGAGCTCCTGCTGAGGCCTCTTGCAACCTGGGCCCACAGAAGTGAGCAGAGGTTCCACTGACAGTGATTCTGCTCTTGGGAGACACTTGACTTCACGTAGTGAAACACCTGGTGATGCCCGATGGCACTTTTGTGGGGACAATCTGGGAGTGGCACTCCGGGCATCCAGGGGGTGGAGGTCGGGATTGCTGCCCACCATGCACAAGACAGCCCCACCTCAGAGAACAACCCAGTCCCAGTTCTGTCCCAGAACTTCAGAAGAGGGAGTGGGTGCTCCAGGCAGCAGGGAGGGCATGGGCAAAGGCCCTGAGGCAGGATGGAGCCTGACAGGGTCGGAGCACAGAGAAGTGACAGCGTGTGGAGCACGTGGAGGGGGGACCAGGTTGTTGGGGGTAGCGGTGATGTTTGAGGGTCTCTGGGAGGACAGTGGGAGTCATTCGGAGGAGTCTACTGACCATCTGTGCCAGGGAGTGTGGGAACAGGGATCAGCATCGACACCCAGCGCCAAGGCGAGAGATCACCCTCCTGGGTAGTCGGGATTCCTAGGGAACTCAGAGGAAGATGATCTGAGGGGTGGTCAGGCTGGGTGAGTGTGCAGCTGAACGGGCATAGAGTCCTTTCATGTGACCCCCGTGGAAGAGAGAGCTGGGGAGGCAAGGGGCTGCCTGCCCCAACCCTAGAGCTTCCTGGGGACATTCTGGAGCAGGAATGATGGTGCGAAAGCCAACAGGTGTCCGTCCTTGTCCTCATCGTAGGTTCCAGATGTGTGGGGGACACATGACACTCCCAGAACTCAGAATAAGATGTTTCCCCCTAAATGGGGTGTTTATTTTTTGGATCCCAAATACTAACCCCCAAAAATTGTGAGACGACGATAACAAGAAACATGTGCCCCTGCCCCATGGCCTGCCCAGCTCTGAGAGGGGTAAGCAGCCCCTGTACTACTCTCCTGTCCCAGGGTCGCTCCTTGGTTCCTCCAGAGCTGGCCCATGGAGTCCCCCCTGTTGGGTCCTTTGCCTGGACAGACCTCCCCACCTCCCCCACAGAATCATATGCACACTGTTGTGTGGAAACAAAGAATGAGCCATGGGTGCTGGAACAGAAAAACAGGAGGCCCAAGTGTTCCTGCCTTGTGTTTGCTACCTTGTGTTTACCGGACTGTCCTTTGACCCCCATGTTATTGTCGCATGTTATTGAGGCACTTGCTGAGAGCTTCCGCCTACCCCCAGCCCCAGGCTCCATGCTGAAGGGTATAAGTAGGGAAGGAGAGAAGAATAAAGTGTGCCTTTGCTTGCTGACTATGAAGTGTGTGCTTTAATCCTGATGTCCTTCGCTCAGACCATCTCTGCTGTCCTGCTGGCGCGGCACCGCCCCCCCCCCAGCCCCTTCACCCTCCCCAACTCTGCTGCTTTGTGGGTCCTCTCCAAACAGGTCCAGCCACGTAAGCCCGAAAGTGCAGAACAGAGAAGAAACAGACCAGTCCAGGTTGTGACCTAAGAGACATCATAAGCGGGATTTGGGGCGTGCAGGAGGCAGCTGCCAAGCCAGTGGCCCAGGCCCCCACTCACTGCACCCCGGCTCCCTCCCTAGACCTTTCCATTTCTGTGTCCAGCCCCCACCCCCACCCCCAACTCCTGACACCCTCCCCTCCAATTTCCTTTCCCCAGGCTGCCTCCTCTTACCGGCTGGCTTCTTGGAACCTCAAATCCAGACAGCACAGAGGCCCAGCAGCAGAAGTACAGCAACCTCCCAGGGACTCAGGGCGGCCAGAGAGCTGGAGGAGGCCTCCACGTACTGGCCCTGGCTCTTCTCTTCTCTGGGGTGGAGATGGGGGCAACTCATGTAGCTGGCCAGCCTGGCCCTGCCGGCTCTAGGCCAGTCTCCCCTCAGGATCTCTCTACTTGCACCACCAACGTGGTGGGGGGGCTGGAGCGTGGGCAGTGGCCTCTGGGATGTGCTGGACGAGGCTGGGCCTCAAACATCACTCACTGAGCAATGGGGTTTTCTGAGCAAAGGGGTGTTGGGGGTTGGATGTTGGGGGAGGCTAGGAGGGGGATGTAACCAAGAGAGCATTAAAGGGGGTGCATCTCAGACCTTAGTGACTTCACCTCCGCAGAAACTTTCTGTAGCTGCTGCTGCAGTATCCGGATCTTTCCTAGAGCGGCAGGCAATCAGGTGGTGTCTTGGTGTCACCTGGCCACCCACCCCTAGTCCCAACCTAACCAACTCCCACCTTAAAACCTCTTGTGCCCCCTTCTCCACCCTCCCCTGGATCCCGACCTGATCCCTCTCTCTGGTTGCTACCCTGGAGGCTCCATTCCCCTCGAGTCCCCTGCTTGGGACACTGGCCCTGCCCCAGCTCTGGCTCCTCCCTTTTTTGGGGACTTTGGCTTGGTCTCTTCTTACCCTGAAGAACTTCCTCTTGCATTTGGCTCTGAGTCTTCTCCTTCTCCAGCAAAGACTTCTCCTCCTTCAGGGAAGCCTTGTGGGACAGGGGAAGGGTCAGATACTGGAGTCCTATTCCAGGGGGCTAGCCGCTGGCCTTGGGCTCTGGACCCTGTCCCCAGGCCCTAGAACTAGAGAGGTTCATGTCCACATCCCTTTCAGGTACCTTTCAAACCTCTTTGCCTCATTTTCCTACCCTGGAGGATGATCACAACCTCCCATCCTCCCAGGCCACCAGTTAGGATATGATCTTCAAAACGAGAATTTCGAAGCCTCTCAAATGGGAATTTGGAAGTTCCCTGTGCTGAAAACCTCAGAGACTTTCCCAGACCCTCTGAGCTATTGCACAAGATTTAAAAGTTCGAACAAACCCAGAACACAAGGGTATATTTGAGCCCAAGCTAGATATCCAGGGGTAGTTTCAAGGCCTCAATCTCAGGACCCAAGTGAAGTTTCTTTTTTATTTTAAAGATTTATTTATTTATGCATACAGAACTGGGGTCCAGGCCAGAAGTGCAAGGTGTGAAAGGGTTCGCTATAGACAGAGTGGGGAGCAGAATAGGTGGGTCTACTGAAATACACCGCTGAGGGGAGCAGTGGGCGAGACAGGAGAGGTCTGCTGCGCCTCGTGGGTCAGCTCCCTGGCTGGGGATGGACTCTCACTGAGGCAGCTACAGCTAGCTCCTTAGTGCTGTGCTTTAACCCACTGTGCCACCAGGGAGGGTCCCCATGCAATACAGATATCAAGTGTCAGGATGCAGTATAGTAAGGTTAAAATCTAAGCTCCCACGCCTTGCCCAGCAGCAGAGTTGGGAGGCTGATATAAATAAGGAGATGAAAAAGCCTGTCTTGGGGCAAGGCCAGAAAACTGACCACAATGACTGGAAAAACCAGGCATGTAGGAGCAGAGGCCAGGACATGTTTCCGTGTCAGAGGCCACTGACTGAGACCAGACATCTCAGCGGGTAACTAGTGAAATTGGTGGCCCAAGTTAGAAAGTGCAAAAACAGAGTGTAATAGAGAGCCTTGGACTCCTGGTGGTGCAAGGGGTTAAGTCTCAGTGCTATGAAGCTGTCTGCAGCCAAAGTTCCATCCCAGTCAGGGAGCTGACACACGGCACAGCAGACTCCTCCTGTCAAGCCACTGCTCCCCTGAGCAGTAAATTTCAGTCCATCTGCCTATTCTGCTCCCCACGCTGTCTCTGGTAAGTCCTCGCACGATCCACCCCTGCACCCCTGGCCTGCTCCCTAGTTCCCATATGCATAAATAAATAAAATAAAGCTAAAAAAAAAATGGTAAGACCTCAAACACTCCTTTGGGTGAATGATCCCTTGGTCTTTTCTGCCCCTTCTCTTAGCAGTAAGATTTCAATAAAGCCACTTTTTCTGCTCTCCACTCTGTCTCTGGTGGACTCTCACCTCTGTGCCTCTGGCATCATGCTAAGGTTTCCCCCACTACATTAAGGACCCACCCCTTCCTTCTTGAAGGCCTGGTGAGGTCCTTACTCCACCCCCTAGACAGGATCTCTTCTCTCTCAAAACTGGTGCCCAAAGGAAGTTTCTAGACCTTCACACCAGTGCCCTGAAATCTAGTGATTCTCACACACACTGGTGGTGGACGCTGACGACCCTGATTTGAGTGCTTTGGGGAGCTCCCTTACCAGCATCCCAGAGAGCATTTGGAGTTCTCAGAATCCTTGTGGGGAAGTTCAGAGCTCCAATATGTGGGTTCAGGGGCAGCTTCAAGGTCTGTCTACCCCCACCAAGGCCCTGGAGCCCCCCTTGAGGGGCAGGGACTCACCACAGTCTTGTTGCAGGCAGTGACTTGGGCCTTGCTCTGCCATAAACCTTCCCGGGCCTCAGTCAGTTGGTGCTCTAGGAGGCTCATGCTGTTGTGGGACTCCTGCTTAGCTTGGGAGTCATCTTTGCAGGTGAACGTGACGATGATGATCATGGCCAACAGCACAACTATCCCGAATGCTATGAGCAGCACGACCCTATGGGTTTTCAGCAGCGTGAGGAGCCCTCTCGCTGGCTCGCTGTCATTGGCCACAGGATACTTGTGGTACAGTGTCGGTGTCATCCCAACAAACTCTTAATTGCAAAGCAGGAGAGCTAGGAAAGGAAACTGGAATCTTCTAGGGTCGGCCCAAAGCATGGAGGCCTGCTGACCAATGGTAAGTTGGGGGAGGATCTTCTGAATCAGAGGACCTTTGAGTGGAATGGCTTTTCACTTTCAATTTCGGTTTTCTGGAAAAGGCCAGGGAGTTGTTTGAAAGCCTTTTGGTGCAGTGGGATCCTGGGATGGGCCACCCAGAGGTAGGGTGGAGCTGAGAAGAGAAAAAGAGGGAGAAGGAATCTGAGGAGGACGGAAGAGGATGGAGAGCCATGAGACCTGGAGAAGCCACATGGAGCAAAGGGAGACATGTGAAGAAACCGTGTTTATTTCTTGGCCCTGGACTGGTTAAGGCAGATGTGGGTGACTAGGGAGGTGACTATGGCAGTGTTTATATTGATTTTGATTGTGCTCTTTTCCTCCCAGACATGTCTGTCCATTTCTACCTTTTTCCATGGGTCCCGGACAGAAGACGCTTAAGTTTGTGACGGGCTTTCAGGCCTTGCTTTGGGCCAACCCCTTTTGGGTTGACTTTTGCCTACAAGGGGATGGGTCACTTCAGGAGTTTGATTTAGAAATTGTATTCTTTGTATTGTATTGTATACTCACCGTATGAAAGTTCCTTTTCATTAAAGTCTTATATGTTCTGTCTTGATGTGGCAGATGGCAGAACCTATTTCGAGCAGGCAGTTTAGGGGGTTCAGGGGTGCCCCTCTCCCCCTGCACTGTAACAGAGCCAGGAGAAGAGGGTAGAGGCCTCCTATGAGCCCGTGTCTGAGACTACAATTCCCGCATTTGGCCACCAGGTGTCGTCCCACGCAGCAGGCAGGCTGGCCCAGCGCCCTCAGGGCTCCAAGCAAACCTTCTGAGCCTCAGTTTTCCCTTCCTTGAAGTCGGAAAGCAGCTTCCTCAGGAGCGACCAGTGAGGAATTGCGAGTAAACATCCGGTAAGCGCTCAGGGATGCACAGCGGGAGCCTATGGCCCCGGCAGCAGCAAAGGCAGGTAACAGGACCCAGGGCACAAGCTGTGAGGAAAAAAACATTAACTGGGCCCACTGGAGGTGCTGAGCCCAAAGGCCTTGGCACCCTCAGGGGGGAGGCCCAAAGGGCACAGGACTCTGGAAGGGAATCAGGCCCGTGCCCTCCCTCCCCCTTCCAGGTGGCCAGGGGAGCCGCCACTTCCAAAAGGAAATTGTCCCATGTGGGGGCGCCTGGCTGCCCTGTGCGTGGCACAGCAGGAAGGAGATGACATGTTTTTGCTGTGGCTTCTTCAGCAACCAGGGACCACAACCCAGATTTGGACCCAGATTTCAAAGCGTGACCCATTTCTGGTATTTGTGTTCTGCTGGGCTGTGATGGGGGCCGGGGTGTGGGGGGGTGTTTGGGTGTTTGTGTGGGGAGTGGTAGGAGAGGAGGAGAGGGCGAGGGGCGGGGTGGGGGGGGGTTCTCCAGAGGCCCAGTCTTCCTGATAGGCCTGGAGAAGCATCCCTAGATGCCAGCAGGCAGCCTTCTAGCTATGAGCCCTTCATGATAGCCCTTTGCAGTCAAATTGCCAGGGATGGGAGCTCGTCTTGTTAGAGGCCCAGGGGAATCTTTTTCCCTTTTTTAGTAGAAAACATGTTTTCCTCACGTAATTCACTACATTAAAAAAAAAAGATTTATTTATTTAAGCATAAATACTGAACTTGGGGTGCAGGGCCAGTGCGAGGATTCACCAGAGACAGAGTGGGGAGCAGAACAAGCAGATCAGCAAAGTACACTGCTGTGGGGAGCAGCAGGCAAGACAGGAACGGCTGCCGTGCCATGCGGATCAGCTCCAGGGTGGGGATCGAACTGGCACTGAAGTGGCTGCGGCTCTGGCTTGCAGTGCTGTGTCCCAACCCGTTGTGCCACCAGGGAGGGCTCTGCTCAGGGAAATCTTACGGGTCCATCCAATAAGAGGGACCTTCCTTCCCAGACAGGTGCAAGATACCACCCTTTGTCAAGCTGACATATTTGACCTGCTCTGGGCTGGTTTCAAACCTTGGCGTCAACTTGGGGCTAGTGTTGCAGGTCATAGTGTTAAGGGAGGTATCCTGTTCCCCACCTCCACTCACACACAGCACCTTGGAATAGCTACTGGGATGGGGGGGCCTAGCTGGTTGGCCTGGTAAAACACAGGAGGTAGGTGGGCTGTGCAGGGTGGGTTGTGTGTAACTCTTGTTTCTGTGGCCTGACTGGCATCCTGGTACTGCTGGGAAAGACATGTGGTGGAGATGTTACAGGACAACGAGAGAGAGGTACCCCTGAAACCCCAAACCTGCCCGCTCTATGTGGGTTCTGCCATCCACCGTGTCAAGACAAAACATATAAAACTTTAATGAAAAGGGACTTTAATATAGTGAGTATACAATACGGAACACAAAGAATATAACTTCTAAATCAAACACCTGAAGTTACCCCTCCCCTCGTGGGCAAAAATCAACCCAAAAGGGATTGGCCCAAAGCAAGGCCTGAAAGCCGCCACAGGACTAAATCACCTTCTGGCCGGGACCCATGGAAAAGGGTCAGATATGGCCAGACAAATCTGGGAGGAAAAGAGCAAAATCAAAATCAATATAAACACTGCCATAGTCACCTCCCTACAGGGATCTCACCCACATCTGCCTTAACCAGTCCAGGGTCAGGAAACAAGCACGGCTTCTTCCTCACATGCTTGCTGCTCCATGTGGCTTCCTCAGGTCTCCTTCTTGTTCTCCATCCTGCTTCCTTCTTTTCTCTCTGATTCCTTCTCTTCTCTCCTTTTCTCCGCTCAGCTCCACCCTCCTTCTGAGTGGGGCAGGGAACCTGGAACTTCCCCTTTTCGTAGGGACCACCCTGTTACAGAGAGACATGTAGATGAAGTCAGTGTGTGCTGTTAATTTAGCTCTTGAACCATCACAGCTTCTTGTCCCATGAAACCATAGAAAGTGACACAAGCTATGCAACTTCTGTTGCCAAACATGATCCGGATGGAGGGGAAATGCTCTGAAAAACCAGAATTTCCACGATAACTTATATTATGACCCCCCTTTTTATAATCATGAAAATATTCTAAGCAACCATTTCTGGGCCCGACCAGTGATTCCGCCCCTCCGCCTTCCTTTGAGTCTGTGTGACCCCTCCCTAGGCCCAGACAGAAATGCAGGCAGATATAGGAGGTCCCAGCCCCTGGAATTCCTGGAAACACGCCCTTGTGTGGTTGAACTGTGACAGGAGCTGTGATGCTTGTTAATCTTTGAATTCATTTGCTAAGTTGAATTTGAGCGGGCTACGACTCATGTTAACAGCCAAGGAGGCCTATATATTCCCTGACATCTTTCTGTTCTGGGTCTTGTTTCCCTTGTGTGGCCTGCGGGCCTGCAAGAAAGCTTGACCCCAGCTAGCTGGCTCAATAAACTCCACTTGCTTGTGAATCTCTGGTCCTGTCCTTTGTCGCTGGAGGCAACCGGTGATTTTGGACCTTAACATCATCAGTTTGCAACTGGATTGCCTTAGCCTCATGAGGCAGTGCCTGGCCCAGGCAAGCAAGCCCCAGGACAGGAAATTCCTCTTGAAGTCAAAATAACATTACAACTGGCTGATTAATAAAAGCAATATTGTGAAACAAGGCAGTACTAGAACATGTTAAAAATAATCAGAGTTCATTTATTGCCCATGAGTACCCAAATCTTATCACTCTGCTCTCTTACTTAAGCTTCTTATTGTTTAGTCTCTAAATGAGGAATTTTACTATCTCCCTTAGTGATTTAACTACCAGAAAACTTCTCTAACCTAGTCCTCGACTTGACTTTACCCTCTTTCACAACTTCACCTTGGCCCACGACCTTACTTTATCCTCTTTCACATCTCCAACCCAGCCTCCACCCTAGCCCTTGACTTTACTTTACCCTCTAGGATGTCTCAATGAGAATGAAGATCATTAAGAAGCATTTAAGGTTTAACGGACTTTATTTTAGTAAAGTCTGTGGTAAATATAACAACGTTAGCCTTAAACTTTATGAATTTAAGTACCTATCCTAACTTTAATAGATTGATTTTAAGAATAATGAATGTTATAAACAGCTGAAGGTCAACACGACCCCAAACTGTTCTTAGAAAAAAAAGATGATTATAATCTCTCAGTCCAGTTCATGTACTAATGTTCTCCCACTGCTCCTAATGTATAAAATAAACTTCTACTAAGAGCATGAACAGGAAGACTTGCACCCAACTCCGATTCCTGTGTCTTCCTCCTGCCTGCTCCCCTCTTTCCCCGTTTTAGGAACCTTCGCTCGCCAACGCAGCTCCCACCTTAAGACCCTGCCTGTTCTGCTCCCCAACAACCCATGATGGGGATGGTCCCCAACAAAAAAGGAATTCGCAGGGCCCTCCTTGGTGGCACAACGGGTTAAAGCACTGCATTAGGAAGCTCTCAGAAGCACACATTCAATCCCCAGCCAGGGAGCTGACCCACATGGCGTGGCAGACCTCTCCTGGCCCGCCCGCTGCTCCCCTCAGCAGTGTACTTCATCAATCTGCCTGTTCTGCTCCCCACTCTGTCTCTGGTGAA